CATGCAAGAAGAAATCCTGAAATAAGGAGAGAGGAGCGTGATAGATAAACACAACGTCGACAGCTTAGTAGGAGGGGTATGAGGGAAGAAATTTTGAATTAGAGACGTCTTAGACAAGGTCAAGTTCGCCTTCGTAGAGATAACCCACTTAATAGACAAATTGAAAACCAAATGCAGTCCCAACGAATCCGATTAACGAGAGAAAATAATGTTATAGAAACTGATTATAGTGGCAATTTAACAGATTTCAAAAATATTTATTTCCAAAATATAAATAAGGGCCCTACTGAAATATGTATTTGCTGCGGCGGCTTATGGTTTTCACACCAAGTTCGCAAATCAAATTTCGAAACTATTGCACAAGGTCACCCGAATGCTGCATCCGCCTTCTTTGTAATGCAAAAATTTCCTTCAGAAGATGGAAATTACGATTTTTGTGCTACTTGCAAAAATGCGATTGTTAAAAAGAACGTTCCAAAAATATGTTTAGCTAACGGTCTAGACTTTTCTGAAATACCGGATTGTTTGAAAGGTTTAACCCCAATTGAAGAACGTCTCATAATGCCTAGATTGCCTTTTATGACAATCCGTCCGTTAGGATATCAAGGTCAGAGTTTGCTCAAAGGTGCTGTTGTTAATATACCAATTTTGTTAACAATATTGTGACATCTCTACCAAGGTCCTTTGATGAGGCTCATGTTATACAAATTGACTTAAGAAGGCGTTTGAAATACAATCATGATTACATGATCGATACCATACGCCCCGCAAAGATTATGGAAGCTTTGCAGTTCTTAGTGAATACCCCTCTGTATCGTGAGCACAATATACATATTAATTAAAACTGGATTTCAGAATTTAATAACCAAGAAGAAGTTCCGTTAGTTGCATCAGCAGAGGTTTCCCAATTGTTTCAATCTTTTCATGTGGCACAAACTTCTCATGATAATCCCTTAGGTAATAATATTCCCACGGGTCTTTTACCTTCAGAGCTAAATCCAGGCGGTCAAGAAACTATTTTGGACAATATTCCTGTAGAAAACTTATACTATAACCGTTTAGTTATAGCGCCAGGTGAAGGACAAAGACCAATTGACATAATTCAAGATAATAATTCAGAAGAGTTGTCATTTGGAACAATATACGTTGGGCAGAAGCGTACATGCTCTGAAACGTTTAGCAAGATAAGACGTTCTGAAATTCGCCGTTTTGACAGAAGAGCGTGTACCATTCCAAAGTTGTTCTATGATTACAAAAAATTAGAACTGCTACAAATTAAGAATAATACATCCATTTGCCTTAGAAAGTTTTCAGGTCGCAACCGAGTTACGGCCCAAAATCTATTAAACGAAAACTTTGTTCAAAACTTGATTCAACACGATGATGGTTACAAGGTTTTGAAAGGCGTTAGATCCTCACCTGCGCACTGGGAAGCTGCGAATAAAAAGGCAATCGCTATGATTCGCCAATTTGGGCTTCCAACCTTCTTAATCACTTTATCGGCTGCAGAATCTAAGTGGGTTGAGTTTAACAAAACCCAAAATTTTTCTAAAAAGAAAATTACAGGATCGTTTTATAAACTTACAATCCTTTGATTTTGGAACTCCATAGAGCAAATATGGATATCCAATATATACTGGATGCATATGCTTGCTGTTCATATATAATTAATTATATTAACAAGTCTAACAGAGGAATTTCTAGGCTCTTAAATGATGCTGTATCAGAGGTAAATGCTGGAAATTATACTATTAAGCAAAAACTTAAACATATAGGTCACAAATTTATATCAGGCACCGAAATATCTGCACAAGAAGCAGAATATTTATAAATACCTCTCGACCTGAGGAACGTGTTAGAATGGTAAAACCTAGAGCGGAACTTCAGAACCTTCCTTTAGGTTCGACTGAAATATTCGTAGCCGGTATTTTAGACCGTTATGTTCAAAGATCCGATAAGTTAGAGACTCTTTGTTTAGCTGATTTTGCATCTAAGTATAAATACTTTAAATCTAGTAGAAGAGCACAAGACAGCGATCATGAAGAAGAAGAGAGGGAAGACGATAATTTACCAGAAAGCGGGGTTGTCATGCCTCTTAAAGACGGTAGCGGTTTTGTGAAAAAACGTACCAAACCTTGTATTATTCGGTATAGAAGGTTTAACCCAGATTTGGCCAGAGTTGAGTATTTCCGCGAAATGTTAATGCTTTACTATCCTTGGCGGAATAACAGCAAGATCTCATTGAAAACGATAATTGAGGAAAATTAAAGAAAATATGATGTTTTTGAGCAAAGAGAACTTGAAAATGTTCTAGAAAGTCTTTATAATGAAATTGACTTGGACGAAGGTGCTCAAAATGAACTACCTATCGTGGAAAATGAGTTCAGAGTGTTGGCACTTCCAGAAATAAACCGAAATATAAATTTGCTGGACTTGCATGGCGAAGGTTCAACGGATAATGGCACTGAATCTGATTGCAATATTAGACTTATTAAACTACCCCCTTTAATTCCAGTTGAGTTTTCTTTAGTTCAAAGTCTAAATACTAAGCAAAGAACCTATTTGACACATTTGATGCACCACCTAAAAACAAATCTCCCATTTTATGAGTTCATTGGCGGCGGTGCAAGTGTAGGAAAGAGTCGTTTGATATCTGCAATATATCAAGCTCTTAACCATCGTTACAATTCTACACCTGGATCCAACCCAAGTCCATTAAAAGTTCTTCTTTGCGCACCTACGGGTAAAACAGCATTCGGAATAGGAATAGGTGGAATGACACTTATTCAATATTCTCTTTACCTGTTAATCAGTTGAATAGAGAGTTGAGACCACTTAGCAATGACACAGTTAATTCATTGTATTCCAGACTTATCGATTTAAAATTAATCATAATTGATGAAATATCGATTGTAGGTGCTCGTATGTTTAGCTCTGTTGATGCGAGATTAAAAAAAATTTTCAAAACAGACAGCCCCTTCGTTGGTATACCGATCATAGTGTTTGGTGATTTGAAGCAACTCTCACCTGTTGGAGATAGGTGGATATTCTCTGCTAATCCCAATGATGCATACACCACTTTAGTGGGTTCCCCTTTGTGGGAGTTATTTAAATACTTTGAATTAACAGAGATAATGAGACAACGGGAGGAACAGGCCTTTGCTATTGCATTAAATCATATGGCATCTGGTACTATGATAAATGAGGACATATCACTCATTGAAACTCGAGTAGTTAATTTAGAAGAACTTCCTGATGATGCTATACAATTATTTTGGTCCAATGAAGAAACAAATAATTTCAATGCCCTTAAGCTCAGTCGAATCCCAACAGAAGCTTTCCTTTAAACTGCAAAAGACTCAGTTAAAGGAATTGGTATAAATGAAAATGATAATATTTTGGAAAGAGTTAAACTTTTCAAAACTTCTGAAACGCAGGGACTGCCCTATGAATTGACATTAAAAACCTCCGCCAAATATATGATTACAGTGAACATAAACACGTGTGATGGCTTGGTTAATGGGGTAGCTGGACAACTTATGAAAATTGATTTCCATTGTTTTTTTCCAACAATTCTGTGGATTAAATTTTTGGAACCTTCTGTTCGTTTGATAGCACGATCAAAAAAGCCTCATCCTCTAGAAAGTTCTTGGACACCAATTGAAAAATTTCTAAAATATTTTCAATATAAAAGAAATGAACAAATTTCAATTGAAAGAAATCAGTTTCCAGTTGTTCCGGCTGAGGGAATAACTATTCATAAAAGTCAGGGTGATATATATAATAAAGTTGTAGTTCATACTCGACCCAGAATGCCTAGAGCTTCAATATATGTCGCTTGTAGTCGAGCTACTTCTGCAGAAGGTCTATTCATCATAGGAAATTTTATTCCTCCTAACAAATTTTCTGAATCGGATCCCGTATTTAGGGAACTGAGGGAATTGAACACAAATAAAGCTTTGACAACAAGTTTCAATTTTATGATTTCACGAAGATCAGGACATCAAATTTTATTCCATAATGTTCAGAATCTTCACGTTCACATTAATGATATTAAAAGCGACTGTTTGATGCTATCTTCAGATATTTATGTTTTGTAGAAACTTGGAGTTATCCTTGCGAAAGTTTTGATATACCAGGATTTACTCCAATTAACGAGCTGAGGATAGATAGCACGGAAACAACCAACAGAAATAAACGGGGCATTATAATATATGCAAAGCAATGATATAAATGATGCTTGGTTTTGTTTAAATGTTTCAATATTAATATTCTGGTTCTATATAGAAATTCAGCTTTCTCTGTCAGACAATTAATTGTAGAACTTCTGGAAGTCCTTACTTCTGAGTTAGGCAATCAAAATGTGCTAATTGTTGGAGATTTTAACATTTGTTTAATGTCTACAGGGACTGCAATAAGAAATCTGCTCCAAGATAAAAACTTTAGTTCCCTGCTTGGTGCAGAATATTCAACTACACCTGCCGGTACACAAATTGATTGGGCATTTTTAAACATGGATCCTTCCCGTGTAAATGCAATTACTTTTGAGACAGTACACAGCCATCATGACAGTATTTGAGTCTCTATTTCGAACTAAAGTTTTCAGACTTAGTGCAATAGTTCTTCATTTTTTTTCCAAATAAAATCGAATTGAAATGGTATAGGAATTTTGACAGTAGTTTTTAGGACAATTTTAAGAAAAATATGTAAAGAATCTAATTAAGAAAATTTAAATTATATATATAATTTGTTATTATATATGACATTATTGTATAAATATATGATAGAAATTAAATAGTATAAGGAAAAAAGAAATATAATTTGGATATATGTATAAGAATCTCTACAAAAATTTATGTTTAATATTGTAAATATTATATACAAATTAATATAATAATATTATATCATTGTTAAAGTTGTTAATATTTATTATTTTTAAGCTAAACATGTATAATAATATCGAATGGTATACAAATTTAATATTTTATTTATTTCTTCAATTTGTAAATTATCTTCAGTCGAAACAGGTATAGGTATAGCGGATAATATGGCTTCAGTATGAAACATATGTTCGTGATTCTAAATAGTGTAGATTTCTGAAGAATATCGCATCAATCGTTGTTCCTGATTTAGTCGTGGCATTTTCCCGGTTGTTATTCATATCTAAACCGAGTTTTTCACGAAGAAAGTGAAGTAGTAACAATGGGAGTGTATATAATCAACGAACTATGTATGAAATGCATGATATCCTCAATTTTTTTTGGTTAGGAGATATATAGATCGCTCTAATGACAATTTCAATAAAGGGTGTATATTGATTATCCTTTCAATTGGCGAATAAAATAAAGCATTTATTTATCAACAGTTTCTAAACAATTCATCGAAAGTCTTCGTCAACTGTTGTAATTATCCATAATCCATTGAAACTAGCTACACGTGACACAGCGACATATATGTTACTAAAGATTGCGACTGTTTTTTTATCATACTCATTTATAACTTCAGAATAAATATAATACTTCCTGGAGATATATGTATAGTAATTGCACAGCACAAAGTGATGGCATATGTGATCATTTCGCATGGATTCTTTTGTTAATATTGAGAGGTGTAGTAGCTGCTTTTCTACGGATTGTTACTTCTGTTTTACTTATTTGATTTGCGCTTACATACCCTGAAACTTTTTTCTAATTCTTTCACCAAATTTTAATAAATGAATGAAGAGGTCACAACCTCTAACCTGGCGATCGTGATTCCACCTGTAGCATCCCAAACAATATTGACTAGTTTCCCACGGCACCATTTGCTAAACCATCTGTCACATCAATACTTGTAGTTATCACATAAAATATACCATTAACAAACACAGTGTCATATGGTAGTCCTGCAGAATCAATGAGTGACATTTTATGGAGCTTCTGACGTACAAAGGCTTCTTGTTCTGCATATGTGCGTCCAATATATATATGTATTCCATGCGGATAACATTTGCTTCTTCAACTGTGCAAAATCTCGATTCCGATTCGTAAATTTTCGTTAAAATTGATGAAAATTGTTAATTGGCCTGCCTTATTACTTGTACTAATTTGAAAAATTTAAGACCTCTCCACAAGAGGGGTCCAACAATCTTCTGTTTCACTGGCTTGTAGATTGGTGTAGCTCTAATAGGCGGTAACTGGCGCAAATCACCAAAAAAAGATGACTACCAAACCATCGAAGATGATGTTATATTGTCCAGTAATTTGTTTTAGGCGTTCATCGATTTGTGTAAGTAATTCCGCGCCATTCATACTTACTTCGTCTACTTTAACATACTTAAATAATGCTCGATATTGACGAGCTACTTCCACACTCACTGGAAGCAATTTTGAAAGTGCCGTGTGTACAGTGGTACCATCAATAGCTACGGTAGCTTTACCAGTTGAAGCCATGTAATGTATCCAATGTAATGTCCGTCATTATTGGTGAGGCGATTATAAATGTCCATTATAAGTTTGATCACAAATGTTTTGCCGCAACCAGATGGTCCCAATAAAAATATTTGAAATGGTTTGAGATTTCCAGATAATAAATGTAAAATTACATTTCGCCATAGTTCACTTCGCTTTTCGTTCGCCATTCTCATGCGCTCACAGAAGGATGCGTTTTCATCATATATTATAATTTTAATTATGCTAGTATTTCAGCATCTTCATTGCGAAATGGATAATGTAAAGAAACCATCTCTCCCTTATAGTTATTTAAGGCTTGTCCCATGTCATATTTGCTATAACGTATAAGGGGGGGTTAGTCTGATACTTTTGTAATGAGCATAATCATGAAAACCAGGTTCTTCTCTCTGCATTGGCGATACAATTATTGTCTTTCGGCAGAGCATAAAAGGTGCTTCAAATCTGCATTGTTGAGGTCCATTTTTTATAGCATGTCAACGTATGTGTCTGTAATTTTATATTTCCTGAAGCTTCTGCGCTTGAAACCGATATTAAATTGTCACTTAATGCTACTGAAACGTTTTTATTTTTAGCGAGTGCTTTGCATGGAGCATTTGCCAGCCACAGTAAAATGTGTGCATGTGGACTCCCTCGATGTTGGAACTCGATTCTCTTGAAGTAATCAACAACATAGTAGCTGCCAAATGGGCTAAACTTATTTGACTGTAAAATACCTATTAAGATAATACTAATTTATTGAAATAAATGGCACATGTCACAGCGATGTTTCAGTTTGTATATTTTCTTGAGCAAGTCATTCCAGCCAATTTCATTAGCTCTTACTGTCAAAACTAAAGTTGGTTTGCCTAACTGTCTTATCATAGGGAAGAGGTTTTCTTTACGATTACTCCAATACCACATAGAGTTGGGAATCGATCGCAGAAACGCGAGATTAGATTCAATGCAATTGTTGATGTATTGATCATCTATCGATTTGTTGACGTGTGATTAAGGTATTTTTACCAATATGATTTTCATAGCCATATACAACAAGTCATATGGCGTTATGTTGGGACGATCCGATCTTCATAGCTCACTTGATGCCATCATAAATGGTGTCACTCTTACGTCTTCTTTGAAGATTCGAAATTGACCTAAATATGTCGATGGAAAGGAAAACTCTTCCGCATGTTTATCGAACAATAAACTTTGCGGAATATTATGTTCTACTGGCGCAATTCGTAAGTATTGGTCTTCGTTCCATAACAGCGTTTGCTGTTGAGCAGTAAGAATCTCTTCAATCTAAATATGTTCACTGACATAGAGTTGCAGGGAGAATTGTATTGTTATTGAAAAATTACTGATTGACTGTAATGGCATATATTTTATACAATGGTAGTAGTTGGTACATTTATATATATATCATCATCGATGTTGCTGGCAGACGTTTTATCATTGTATTCACTAAAACGGAAACATTTATGACTTGTCCGTGTTGACCGTTAACGTGTCGTAATCTCCTGAAGGAAATACGTGGTGAAATAGGTCTCTCAGTAACCAAATCCCGCAGTGGTAAATAATCAGGAATTTCGGGATATTTGAATCCGTTGTAGACAGACATAACTGGAATTTTTTTCCTTTTCAATGATAACGAGCAAGTGTTGCAACTTATTATATCATTCATAGACAAATTGGTTAATATTGTTAGTAAAATTTCTTCATGCTCAGGCGACGGATATTTCAGATCAGCTTTAAACCACAACCTGTCACTAACAGTGCAGATATGTCTAAATTAATTGTGAAGGAATTTTGTTCTTAATTCCATGTGAGCTTTTTTATGACGATTATAATCACTATAAGGCACGTGTGGTGCTTCAGTACATGTTTCACTAATCTCAAGATCACTAATTCTCAAGATCGCCGACGATGGTTAAAATTGTTGATTTGTGGATTGAAGGTATTTTCGCTGTGCTTTCTTGATTGAAAGGATCATTATGCACAATACATATGCCATCATTTAGCAAAGTAAGCTTTGATATTGTATTTTAGCCTTTTTTCGCATATTATATTCATATTATCAGTAAATTATTCGGGATTGTATTTTCAACAAGATGTTGTGAGGGCAAATATCACTCTTGGAGATGGATGTCAGCTTGAACAATAATTAAGCGATGATCATTTTGTAAATTTTGGGAACAATCTTGATTATGAAAATATCAACGAAACTAAAAATGACTATTGCCCATTGAAATATCATTTGTGATTGCATTTTGCTGTGATTGCATTGCATTTTGCTGTGATGCCTTCATAATCAATTCGTTGTTGTTGGTTGAAGAGCTACATGCAATCCGTGCTCCGTATTCTCGATTATGCTCCGCTATTGATTTAGCCGTTCGATCAATGAAAGTTAATTACGAATAGTATGGAACGGGTTTTTGTATGCTTCGTTCACGTAGCGTGTCTGTCACTCTCACGTATGTAGACACGTATTCCAATTATATACATAGATGCCCTGAAGACACGTACACTAAATGTAAATAGACAACTACTTTTATGTAACTAAGTCAAAAAATAAATTACTCTTTATATAATATTATAAAAATGAGGATACTTACGTTATTATTTGTTTCGAAGATTTTATAAAAGTTAAACTATCATTCATCACAAAATATTAAATTTCAAACTCAGTAAGAGTGCAATTATCGAAAAACAGTGCACGCGGTCAGCTGCCAATATGTTGTTAATTCTTCCATTCCAACGGGGGATCTCGAAAGGCAATTAAAGATTGCTAAGAATTTGAATTTCTAGCAATATTACCAATGGAGATTGCACATTGCTAATGTTTAGCCCTTAGTGGCATGATGCCAGCAAAAAAGAAATGCCAATCTTTTATATTTTGTTGTAAACTTCAATTTATCCAAGTAATATTCAAAACATAAATTTTAACAAAACATGGGAAATAGTTATTAAATACATACATACAAATATATGTATATGTATGGTTAATATTATTATGATAATTGTTAGCATATATAAATATCATTGCTCATACATGCTTGAATTAGTAACATTGTGCAACAATTATTTAAGTCTTAAAATATGAAATCTTATTTATTCAAAAAAATACATTTGTGGAAAATAGTACAATAGATTTCTACTTTTTCATTCTCCACATAAATTTTTGTCATCATCATAAAATTTTTAAACGGTGCAAGAGGTCAAACATGCGCTATATCAACTCGCAAATACACACCCGACGTCATTTCGAGAATGATTATTTAATTATAGCAAATGCCCACATAAGAACATTGCTAACTTCAATTCGATAACAAGAATGATAGAATGCAAGATTACGAAAGAATTGTGATTGCGAAGGTTGTATTTAAATTTTTATGTATAAAATACAATATATGGATTTTGAAAAATCAAGACGACTGCACGACGGCGAAATTTTCTTTTCGGCAAATTTCGTCTTGAAGCCAGCTTCTTGAACATTTTGAAGACGGCAGCGACATATCAAACATCTTATGTACGTTGTTGCCGTACTAAAATTTTACACTCCGATGAAATTTAATATTTTGTTCTAAGTGAAATTTTTTGTGCAAAAAATAAGTAAATATGTCGATTAATTTGTTTTAAATTATCAATTTTTATTACAAATGATATATCAGTGCTATTTTATGTATTTGTTATATACTAGTGGTAACACTATAGCTGCCCATTGACGCCGGTTTAAGGCTTAATTTAGTGACTGCGACAACTATAAGGCTGTTGTTGTAAGGCAGGGATGGTGTATGATATGGTGTATTTTAATTATGCCGAGTTTAGTCCAAAAAATTTGCAAAAATGTAGTTGGGAGTGCCGAAATTAATCAAATTCGAATTATTTTTTATATAAAAGAATTTTGTTTCAACAATTCATTAACACAAAAAAATTAAACGTATTTGTACTACTTCTTATATGTATACATAAATTAACAAATAAGTCTCCCATACTTCATTATTTCCCTGCAAGCCATCTATCGGTTAAGTCATCGGTTCCTTTCTGTTAAAAGAGAAAACAGTATCGCAATATACATATATGCCCTGCACGCAATTTCATAAAAACAACTTGTTGCCTATCCTACTAAATTTCGTAATTTCGTAAGACACGAAAAATACGAAATCAGGATCTCAAAAATTCACCGTAAATTTTTTAATGTGTTCTCGACTTTATTTTACGTGAGTATATAGGAAGATACCGAATCCCATTTGTAGAATATCGAAACCATATTTCGATCTGTACAAATCACAAATGTGAATTCTTGAAAACAGAATTCGAATTCTTTGGATTTATTGTATCTCCAAATGGAGTACGAACCAACCCAAAAAAAGTAGAAGCAATAAAAAACTTTTCCTGTCAAAGAACCTTAAAAGACCTCAGGTCATATCTAGGACTGTTCGAGTTTTGTCGTCATTTCATAAAAGAGTATGCCAAGTCAGCGATATTCTTGACATCCCTTTTAAGGAAGGACGGATATCCAAGAGACTTTCTAGTAAGAAGTCCTAGCTATAATTTGCGCTCTGAAATGCTTGCGAAACTACCTGTACGGGGTTGCTCAAGTAAAGATATTTAAAGACCATTGACATACGCCTTTTCTAATAAAAACTCTAATTCTAAAATAAAGCGATGAAAAGCCTGTTTGAAAGAATACCATTACGAATTACAGTTCAAAATCGGAACTATGAATAAAGTTGCAGATGCACCTTTCGTCCACCTTACAATTCACAAATCAACCTGCCGTAGACGCAGGGACGAAAGCTTCCCAAAAACCAAATCATTCTTCATGTAGGAAATAGTACTGACCTATAATAGCAGAAGTAACTTTTGAGGAAAAAAAATTAGCAAACATCCTTAAATCATATTTGAACCCATCGGTCATTAATGGCCTCAAAACAGACGAAAGAACACTAGGTATAGTACAAAAGATGTATGCCCGTTTCAACAGCTTTAAAATACGGTTCACTAGAAAATTAGTAAGAGATTTAACAAATTCTGTCGATCGAAATTAAGCTATTAGTAACGAACACAATCCTGCCTACCAAAATAGCGAAGAAAACAAGTTGCAAATGCCAGAAAAGTTCTATTTTTCACAAATACGAACCAAGGTTGAAAAAATCGTAAAACAATGCAAAACATGTAAGCTTAATAAATATGACCGTCACCCTTGTAACCACGCTATACAAAGTACACCAATACCTGAGTACCCTTGGCTTATTGTTCACATCAATATCTACCACACTAACAAGCGAAATCTACCACACGAATGAGCTCGTACTGCCATAGATAGTTAAATTTTCGAAATACGCTCTCATAAAACTGATTAAATCACGAGGATTTAAAACCACCTCTTAGAGACATTATAATTTCATTAGGATACCAAAAGTTATTATATTCGATATTGTAAAATCTTTTAATTTCGTTTCAATCACGTTCATGCTGACTGATTCAATATAGAGATGCACAAAGCTCTACCTTACAGCTGATTAAATTTATTTTTACACTATTACCGAAATAAATACCTTAAATCAGAAAATACGCAATATTCGTTTGTGGAACTTCTAGATAAATCCATTTTTGAGTACAATAGCTCAATCCATTCTACAACTTTTACATACTTCCCGATCTCTTCTTTGGCACAATAACAATTTCAAATCCAAACAAGCGGTTACGGCCTACGAAAAAAACAATAAGTCGACTTAAAAAATAAAGCAAAACGCCGATGGCTAATTACGATATAGGTGACACAATTTATGTGAATATAAATAAAAGATTAGGAAATAAACTAACTCCACGATATAAAGAAGAAATAGTCACTAGAAATTTAACAGTACTGTCCTCACAAAATCAGGTAATACTGTCCATAAAAATTTAATTGAAATCTGTTTTAAAAAAAAAAGTTATAACGTTACGAAAATTTCAAAAACGATATGTATTTAAATTAGTAAAAGGCTAATTTGTTCTCAAAAAAAAAAAAAACAAATTGAAATTTTAAAATAAAATCGTTAAACATAGCTTATGTTATTAACGGAACAAAGGCCAATATTGTAATTTCGTGGACATTAAAAAAATAAGAAACATTTAGAGTAAGCACCACTTTTAAAATCAAAATGAATGGTAAATTTGTTAATTTTTTTGTTTTAATTTAAAAATCTTAACCAATAAATCATGCATACCTATGTCTTATACATATAGTACTTAATTAGGAATTACAGTATTCATTTATAGCGTCTAGGGTACAAAATAGGCACAAACTGCGAACAAAACAAGATAATTTTGAACTTATGGGAATGAGTCCAAAACTCTAATAATCCCCCCAAGCGGATAAGCGAATTAAAAAACAAGCTATAATCTTACCGTAACTTACTAACATGCTTCCAAGGTATCACGTAAATAGCAAGCATTGGTAAAAGGTTTCCCACCTAAGGCTAGCAAGTCCTAACTGCAGCACCCCCGCTCAAATAGATATTCTATTACGCAGCGAATTGATTGAGAGGTTAAAAAATTTCAAACCCCATTCTTGCTTAAAATACAACAGTTTTCGGTTGGAAACTAAGTGGACAAATTACAGAAACAGCTTCCATGATGACAACTCAAGTTAAAGAAATTACAAATGAATACCTTTTTTATTTGTTTTTTAGTTTTGTTTATTTGATTAAAATTAATAAACTTAATTACCACAATAAACAATAGTGCATCGATAACATATACTACGTACAGTGCCTCTAGACGAGCTCTCGAGTACTCCGCTATCAATAATTAGTAACATTTTATTAACTAATGATATTATTTATATCTTAACTTAGTAGATATTATATATAGTATATACTTGTATTTGCGGCAAGGAAAAAGTAAAAAAAAAACGATGCATAGATGATTTTATAATATAAAATGGTTAAAAGAAGAACAAGAAATCAGACCAGATGTATCATGGAGTGAATTAGTTTCCAATATCACTTAATAGCCACCAGCAGTACTGTCTCGTCAAAGTGGTTTCAGTTTTGTCCCTAAACGGGATGTATGTGTCAAATCGTTTGTTTTCAGCAGTGAGTATTTTCGAAGTGACTACTTTGTTGTTAGCTCTTCTAAATATGTGATAGATTAAAGGGATGTTGTCTTCGTTTTGGATGAAGCCATTTTTGTCCAAGTAGAGAAAGGATTCTTATTAAAGTGCTATTGTCATAATATAGGCAGCGACTTATATGCTTTCTAATTAGATTTATGATGTGACAATCAATTCTGGGAACTTTTGCAGTGTCGTATAGTTTAGAGTTAGAAATAAATTTGGTGAAATTACTATTCTGTGACCTATGCAGCGATGTGCATGATCGGAGTATTCATCTCTCAAATTTTCTGAATATTTCTATATATGAAGGAGAGATATTAAACCAAATTGAACATCCATATAAAAGTATTGGTTTCACTAGTGATTGATACATGATAATTTTTAGCCTGTTATATAGCAGTTTTGAAGAAAACATTTTTTTATAAGTATAAAGAGCTCTATTTGTTTTTACGATTTGTATGTTGATATGATCATTAAAATATAAAAACTTATCGAGGTGAATACCAAGATATTTGGTTCTCTCCTTGCGCTGTATTTGGATATTTGCTACACTGGATTTTATATTAAATTCCTTCCATTCTTTTAACGTTTGAGTTACATTTATTAACGGGAGGATGAAAAAGAATACTTTCGCATTTGTTAATATTTATTTTGAGATGCCAGTTTATTGTATAATCCTCAACAG